CACTTAGGGGGCTGCCCCACATCCCCCCCCCTCCCTCCCCACACATCCCCAGCCCCACAACCACCCCCCCCCATCCCCCCCCCCAAGACACACATTGGCCATCCTAGAGCAATAAACGCTGTTGCGCAGAGCATCAGGCCGGGCTGCCGCTGCCCCACGGCGCTGTGGGGCTGGGGGGGGCTGGGGTTGGGGGGCTGGGGTTGGGGTGTTGGGGGATTGGGGGGTGGGGGGTGGGAGGGGGTTATTGAGCTGGACCCATAAGTGGGGGGCGGCTGCCACTCAGATGTGGTGGCAGCTATGGGGCTGGGATGATGCAGAGCCCCCAACTATAGGGCTGGGGTGGTGCTGGGATCACATCTGTAGGGCAGGGCGATGCTGAGCCCCCATCTATGGGGTTGGGGTGATGCTGAAACCCCCATCAATGGAGCTGATGTGGGGCAGAGCTCCCCAGCTATGGGGCAGGGGTGATGCCGAGCTCTCTGTCTGTGGGGCTGGGGTGATGGGTAGCCCCCATCTATGGGGCAGGGACGGTGCTAGAACCCCATCTATGGGGCAAGGGTGGGGCAGAGCCCCTATCTATGGGGCAGGGACGGTGCAAAAACCCCATCTATGGGGCTGAGGTGCAGCAGAGCTCCCTAGCTATGGGGCAGGGGTGATGCTGAGCCCCTCATCTATGGGACTGGATGGGTGCCGGGACCCCATCTATGGGGCCGAGGTGGACAAAGCTCCCTGGCTATGGGGCAGAGCTGATGCCAAGCCCGCTATCTGTGGGGCTGGGGGAGCTGAGCCCTGATCTGTGAGGCTGAGCACCGATCTATGGGGCACAGCCTCCATCTATGGGGCTGCTGTGGGGCAGAGGCCCCGGCCTATGGGGCACAACGGTGCTCAACCCCCATCTGCGGGGCCGCTCCCCTCCCCCCCCGGGTGGGGGTTCCGCTGCCGCCGCGCTCCAACGCTTCCAAATTAAGGCATCGCTGCTGCGCCCCACCGGCACCGCTCAGCCCCATAGCCCAGCCCCATAGCTCAGACCTATAACCCAGCCCTATAGCTCAGCCCCGTAGCCCAGCCCCATAGCTCAGTCCTTTAGCTCAGTCCCATAACCCAGCCCTATAGCCCAGCCCTATAGCCCAGCCCCATAACCCAGCCCCATAACCCAGCCCCATAGCTCAGCCCGATAGCCCAACCCCATAACCCAGCCCCATAGCCCATCCCCATAGTTCAGCCCCATACCCCAGCCCTATAGCTCAGCCCTATAGCTCAGCCCCATAGCCCACCCCCATAGCCCAGCCCTATAGCTCAACCCCAAAGACCCACCCAGAACAAAGGGATGTGGGGATGGGACCCCAAAGACCCCCTCGGATATAGGGATGGGGGGAGGGGATCCCAAGACCCCGGGATAGGGGACCCCAAAACTCCAAGATCCGGACCCCAAGACTCCAGGAGAAGGGAGATGGGGACCCCAAAACATGGACCCCAACCCCCCCCCCAGGACATGAGGACCCCAACTTCTCCCCCTCAGCCCCCCAAGGACAAAACGATGTGGGAGTGAGACCTCAAGACGACGGGATGGGACCCCAAAATCCCAAGACAAGAGACATGGAGACCCCAAAGACCCCTCCCGGACAAAGGGAGGTGGGGATGGGACCCCGAAGACCCCAAAAGTGGGGGATGGGACCCCAAGATCCCAGGACATGGGACACGGAGACCACAATGACCTCTGCAGGTCAAAGGGATGTGAAGGTGGGACCCCAAGACGATGGGATGGGACCCCAAAACCCCAAGATCCCAGGACATGGAGACCCCAAAGACCCCTCCTGGACAAAGGGATGTGAGGAGGAGACCCCAAGACCCCGGGACATGGAGACCCCCAGGCTCCCCCCCAGATACGAGGACACGGGGACCCCAAAAATCCCCCCTAGCTCAAAGGGATGTGAAGGTGGGACACCAAGACGATGGGATGGGACCCCAAAATCCCAAGACAAGGGACACGGGGGCCCCAAAGGCCCCCCTTAAAGCCCCTCAATAACGGGACCCCAAAGACACGGTGAGCGAACGCCATCGCCTTTATTGACCCCCAGAGCCCCCCACGATGGGGGGCACGATTGTCGCCCCCCACCCCACATCTCCCCACAGCCGATGGGGCACAGCAGTAACAACGGGGGGGGACACAGTGGGGTGGGGGGTTGTGGGGTCAGGGGGTGGGTTATGGGGTCAGAGGGAGGGTTGGGGTGATCGGAGAGGGCTGGGGGGGGTTACGGGGTCAGGGGGACCCCCCCATTTTGGGGTGGGTGAAGGCACTTGGAGGGGGGACACAGAGGGGACGCAATGGGGGATCTGATGGGATTTGGTAAAGCTCCGGGAAAGGGCGGACCCAAATTCCCAGGAATTGACCCCAAATGTTTGGGAATCGGCCCCAAATTGTGGGGAATCAGCGCTGAATTCCTGAGAATTGACCCCAAATCGCACGGAACTGAGCCCAAAATCCTAAAAATCGACCCCAAACTCTCAGGAATTGACCCCGCTGGGACCAAAATCCCAAATTCCAGGAACTGAGCCCAAATTCCCAGCAATCGGCCCCAAATTCTTAGGAGTCGAAGCCAAATTCCAGGGAATCAATCCCAAATTGCTGGGAATTGGCCCCAAATTTGGGGGAATTTGCCTTGAAATCTCAGGATTTGACCCTAAACTCCAGAACTGACCCCAAATTCTACAGATTTGGCTCCAGGCTCTCAATTACAGACCCCAAATCCATGAAATTGGCCCCAAAATCTCAGGATCCGAGCCCAAATTCTGTGTCATTGGCCCCAAATTCTGCAGAATTGACCCCGAATTCTCATGGACTGACCCCAAAATCTCAGGAATTGACCCCAAAATTGCAGGAATTGACCCCAAATTCAGTGAAACCGACCCTAAAATTTCAGGAACTGACCCCGAACTTTGTGAAATCAGTCCCAAATTTCACAGAATCAGCCCCAAATTCTCACAAACCGACCTCAAAATCTCAGGAAATGACCCCAAATTCCACAGAATCCACCCCAAACTCCCACAAAACGACCCCAAAGTCTCTGAACCAGACCCCAAATTCTGCAGAATTGGCCCCAAACTCCCACAAAATGACCCCAAATCTCAGGAACTGACCCCAAATTCTGCAGAATTGACCCCAAACGCTCTGGACCGAACCCCAAATTCTGCTGAATTGGCCCCAAACTCCCACAAAATCACCCCAAATCTCAGGAACTGACCCCAAATCCCACAGTCAGCCCCAAATTCTCACAAACACCCCAACCTCTCCAGAATTGACCCCAAATTCTCAAGGACTGACCCCAAATTCCATGGAATCCACCCCAAACTCTCAGGAACTGTCCCTGAATTCTGCAGAATCGGCCCCAAACTCCAACAAAATGACCCCAAATCTCAGGAACTGCCCCCAAATTCCCCAGAATTGACCCCAAATCTCAGGAATCGACCCCAAAGTCTCAGGAACTGAGCCCAAATTCTGCACGATTGGCCCCAAATTCTCAATAGACCCCAAATTCCCTCAAATCAGCCCCAAATTCTCACAAACGGACCCCAAACTCTCAGGAATCGACCATAAAATCTGCACAACTGGCCCCAAATCTCAGGGACTGACCCCAAATCTCAGGGACTGGCCCCAGATTCCCAAGAATTGGCCCCAAATTCCTCAGAATTGACCCCAAACTCTCCGGACCTCAAATTCTGCAGAATTGGCCCCAAAATCTCAGGAACTGACCCCAGATTCCTAAGAATTGGCCCCAAATTCCCCAGAATCGACCCCAAACTCTCCAGACCGGATCCCAAATTTTGCAGCTGTGATTCCAAATTCAACAGCTGCGACCCCAAATTCTGCAACTCTGACCCCAAAATCTGCAGAATCAGCCCCAAACTCAGCAGCTGCGACCCCAAATTCTGCAGAATTGGCCCCAAAATTTCAGGAACTGACCCCAGATTCCCAAGAATTGGCCCCAAATTCCCCAGAATTGACCCCAAACTCTCCAGACCAGACCCCAAATTCAAGGCAGCTGCGACCCCAAATTCTGCAGAATCGGCCCCAAATTCTGCAGCTGTGACCCCAAATTCTGCAGAACCGGCCCCAAACTCAGAGGCTGTGACCCCAAACTCAGCAGCTGTGACCCCAAATTCTGCAGAATTGGCCCCAAATTCTGCAGCTGTGACCCCAAACTCAGCAGCTGAGACCCAAATTCTGCAGAACTGGCCCCAAACTCAACAGCTGTGACCCCAAATTCTGCAGAACCAGCCCCAAACTCAGCAGCTATGACCCCAAACTCAGCAGCTGTGACCCCAAATTCTGCAGAATCGGCCCTAAACTCAGAGGCTGTGACCCCAAACTCAGATGCTATGACCCCAAACTCAGAGGCTGTGACCCCAAATTCTGCAGAATTGACCCCAAACTCAGCATCTGTGACCCCAAATTCTGCAGAACCGGCCCCAAATTCTGCAGCTATAACCCCAAATTCTGCAGAATTGGCCCCAAACTCAGAGGCTGTGACCCCGAATGCAGCAGCTGTGACCCCAAATTCTGCAGAATCGACCCCAAATTCTGTGGCTCTGACCCCAAATTCTGTAGAATTGGCCCGAAATTCAGAGGCTGTGACCCCAAATTCTGCAGAATCGACCCGAAATTCAGCGGCTGCGACCCCAAATTCTGCAGAATTGACCCCAAACTCAGAGGCTGTGACCCCAAATTCTGCAGCTCTGGCCCCAAATTCTGCAGCTGTGACCCCAAATTCTGCAGAATTGGCCCCAAATTCAGCAGCTGCGACCCCAAATTCTGCAGCTCTGACACCAAATTCTGCAGAATTGACCCCAAACTCAGAAGCTCTGACCCCAAATTCTGCAGAATTGACCCCAAACTCAGTAGCTGTGACCCCAAATTCTGCAGAACTGGCCCCAAATTCTGCAGCTGTGACCCCAAATTCTGTAGAATTGGCCCGAAATTCAGAGGCTGCGACCCCAAATTCTGCAGCTCTGACACCAAATTCTGCAGAATTGACCCCAAACTCAGAGGCTGTGACCCCAAATTCTACAGAATTGACCCCAAACTCAGCAGCTGTGACCCCAAATTCTACAGAATCGACACCAAATTCAGCAGCTGCGACCCCAAATTCTGCAGCTGTGACCCCAGATTCTGCAGAATTGAGCCCAAACTCAGAGGCTGTGACCCCAAATTCTGCAGAATTGACCCCAAACTCAGCAGCTGTGACCCCAAATTCTGCAGCTCTGGCCCCAAACTCTGCAGCTATGACCCCAAATTCTGCAGAATTGGCCCCAAATTCAGCAGCTGCGACCCCAAATTCTGCAGCTCTGACCCCAAATTCTGCAGAATTGGCCCCAAACTCAGCAGCTGTGACCCCAAACTCAGCAGCTGTGACCCCAAACTCAGCAGCTGTGACCCCAAATTCTGCAGAACCGGCCCCAAACTCAACGGCTGTGACCCCAAACGCCCCGTGCCGGGATGGGATGGGACTGGGAGGACGGAGGGGGACGAGGAGGGGGTGGAAAGGGGGGGGTGCATAGGGATCCCCCCCTGCGCCGCCCCCCTATAGGGGCAGTGACGTCGGCGCTCCTTCAGCCTCTCCAGAAACGGTTAAAAAATAAATAATGGGGTGTTGTTTTGTCGGGTTTTTTTCCTCTCCCCCCCCCCGGGGGCTGCGGGTGCCATCAGAACTCGTCGTGCCGCACCAACGCCTCCCCGAAGTCGGTGGCCTGGCTGCCCACAAACAGGTCGTACTTGGCCACGATCTCCTCCCGCGTCAGACGGCCGTCCTGGGGGGCACAGCACGGATGGGGG